GAAGGAAAGCAAAGGCAGTGGATGGGCCGCCCGGAAGCGCTGGTGTGTGGAGGCAGTGAGCGTACTTAGATGGACCTGCTCGGGGGAGCCCCTTGGTTAATGCAATGGCCCTGCAATCGGGTCTACTTACCTTTAGGTTGGTTTGTAACAGTTTGGGAACCTTTTCTTTTACATACGAATATTACGTATTTGAGAGAAAATATTTATAAAATAGTTTAATCTCTTTATATATTTAAAAATAAATATGGAAAACCCCTAAATTACAGATTTGGAATTTGTGAAAGCATTGCATTGATCTATGTTCTAGAACAGTCCAGTGAGGCAAATGAATTGAGAGGGATGATTTATACCTAGCAATATTTTAAGACTTATTTATTAGTTATGAAAACAAAATTAATTAGTATTCTGCTGTTTGTAGATTAATTTAATGACAAAAATGACTAAGCTATCAATATAGTTTATCTTGAGCTGTTTGAAGCATGCTCTGCAGTCCTCCGTCAGCAAGTCCGCGGGCCCTCACGCCTTCGTTGTTAGGGCTCTGACTTCCAGACCATGAACTCACGACACCGAGCTTTGCTGTGGAAGACTTTCGTGTGCCATGACATCCGAGCTGTAGACTTGCCCATGAATTATTACTCAGTTACGTGAGAGTTTGAGAGAACAGGAATCAGATTACTTTCTTCATGAAGCAGAGTGGCATCTAGCCCTCTGTGAGAGGGAGGAGGAAATGAATGAGTGGTCCTGAAACTTAAAATTGGTGATGGGGGAAATTAAAAACAAAAAGTAATGCTGTAGATGGCTTCAATTTTGTAAGCGAATTTTGCTATTCATACTGCCAAAGTTACATTAAATTAGATTTGAGGAAGCTAAGTTTTCCAGTCAACTTAAGGTTTTAGTACCAAGTAAAAGGGAACATGACAGGCTGACGTGGAGTAGTGAAACCTGCTTCTGTCACAGCAGTGTTACCCTAAAAGCTGTGCCCGAAGCAGAAAGTGTGAGGTTTGGAACTTGGAATAATTCCATTGCAATCTTTCATCCCTGGGGAATATTAGCATATCTAGCAGCCAGGTCACTTGAGAGATCAGCTAATCATCTCTTGCAAATGTTTAATTGGCAAAAGCAATTCATGTTAATAAAACAACTGTTCACCATCAAATGGGTAAAATGGTTATTGTTGAAATAGTATGAATGTGATCAGAGTATTGTAGTCGAGAATGAGGTATTACGTGCGTTTCAGATCTCTGGAGTTGTGTTTGTGGGTGCAGAGTCCTACCCGGTTCTGTCTGTCTCCTGAATTTCTTCTTAGTATTTATTGTCCTACCGCCTGGGGGCTCAGAGAGTCGTAAGTGAAGTGCAGATAGCGAAATCCTACTACCTCTTCTTAACTCCTTTCTTCAAACGGCCGCTCTTCCAGGTCTCTCTCTGACACAGTATTCCCAAAGGACTGCGTTACTTCTTTCAAAGGCACACACTTTTTCTTTAAAGATTGTTTTATAATGAGAGTTTGTTTATAACTTTTCCAGTATTGGCACTTCTCGGCCTCTGACCCAAACCCCAGGCAGGAAATGGAGGGAGGGAGGGAGCAGTGTTGCCAGCGGGACTCGGGCCCCTGCCACTGTGCAGCCCTGTGACCAGGTGGGCACCGCTCCTCACCAGACTCCTCACGTCTCTCTGAGCTGTAAATACACGTGTAAATAGTGCTTGCTACTGTTACCTGCTAAAGAGAGGGCTTTCCAAAATGAGACTGGAATTCAGAGTACCACGCTGATTACAATTGTGTTTATAGAGCTTTGGCAACGCTAGAGAACACCCCTTACATTATAGCATAGGGACATTTTAACTTGCATGAGATTCAAAGCCCATTAGCAAAATTATTAACTTAAAATCCTAATGTAAATTGCACATTTTAGGATTTATTTTTAACTCTGTACCACATGCTCTAATGTATGTACATAAGTTTCCATAGCTTAAATAATTAATGTTATTAGTAAATAAGTTTGTGCTGTGAATAATTAATTTATTATTTGGTTGTTATGCCATATGTGCCCATTAAAATTCTTTTTAATTACAAAGTATGTCAAATATACAGAGTAATAATATAAAGCCCTTGTGCTCTTCACAAACTATTTTGCCACATTTGCTTCTAATTTTTAAAGAAATAAAATGTTACTCTCTTGTACTTCTCTCTGAGGCCTCCCCTCTCTCCTTCCTGGGAGCTAAATGGAAATTGGTGGGACTCCTTCCTATTGGAGAGTTTATACTTTACCACGTGTTTGTGTTCATAAATAATATGTAGTGGTTTTTAAAAAAATTCATATTTGTGATTTTGTATGTTATTTCTTGTAACTTGCTTTTTAACTCAACATAACTACCTTTTAGGGTCAGATTACATCAGTTTACTCACCTGTTCCCCCACTAATGGTCATTCCGATTGGTATTCGTTGCCATTTGTAACAGAGCTGCCCGTGTGCATTCTTGATGTGTTTTCTCGTGCAAATGTGCTGGGTAAATGCCCCGCATGGACCGGCAGCTGGTGGCTGCCTGCTCTCCAGGGGGTGTGCACCCATGAGCCCCTGCTTTCCCTCCTCCTCTCCAACACTCAGGCTTACAAGATGCTGCCTCTTCTGGTCACAGCTGTGAGATAGCAGGTCTTTGTTTTCATTTACATTTACCTGGCTGTCAAGAGTCTTCATCTATTTATTGGTCATTGTTTTGTGAGTTTATTATGTTATTGATCATAATGTTTATCTATTACAGGGCTTCTTCAAGTACCGGGCTTGACTTTTAAAAGATTTTTTAATTGATTTTCAGGAGAGAAGGGAGAAGAAGAGAGAGAAATATCAATCGGCTGCCTCATGCACTCCCCCTACCAGGGATGGAGCCCACAACCAGGGCATGTGTTCTGACTAGGAATTGAACAGGTGACTTGGTGCATGGGACAAGGCTCAACCAGCTGAGCCACACTGGCCGGGGCTATAGGGCTTGGCTATTATGTGGTCTGTGGCTGTCTTTAATTGTACAGAATTTTTCAGTTAGGTTTAGTCAAATTTGTCAATCTTTTTTTTAAAGTTTTGTTCGTTCCCCAGGGCTTAAAAAAACTCTATGCCTAATTCACCTGGAAATAAATGTTGTGATTGCTGGACCACGGTACTCCTGAGCCATATCGATAGCTGGTTCTCACAGCATCACTTATGAAGCGGTATCTCGTCCCCAGGTTCCTGCGCCTTCTCATGCCGCCAAATACCCGGGTGTATTCTGTTCCACTGACCTATTTATCTATTAATTCTACACTTTTTTTTTCTTTAAAAAAGGTTTGTAATTAATCTTGAAGAGTAAAGAGTCCTCGACCCTGTTCTTCCGACTTCCCTTGGATAGGCATCTCGACTGCACCTGAGTGGTCAGATTATTGACATATAATCCTCCTTGGTCTAAGGAAAAATGTATAGCAATTTGCAATATATATGCAAAAAGAAAACAAATATATGGTAAAGGATAAAAGATAGGGAAAATCTTACCAGGGAGGAGAATGAAAGCAAGGCATCCTTCCTAATAATAGACAAACATGGTAATTGACCGTACCTTCGCTACGCCCCCACTGGCTAATCAGCATGATATGCAAATTAACCACCAACAAAGATGGCGGCTGATTTGCCTCTGGCCGAGGTGTCAGGCCTGGGCAGGGGCTGGAGCTGGCAATCGGAGGGGTCTGGGGGTCCCCTGCCCAGGCCTGACGCCTCTGGCAGAGGCATCAGGCCTGGGCAAGGAGCCGATCCGGCAATGGGAGGGTGATGGAGGTCAACGCCTCTGGCCGAGGTGTCAGGCCTGGGCAGGGGCTGGAGCTGGCAATCGGAGGGGTCTGGGGGTCCCCTGCCCAGGCCTGACGCCTCTGGCAGAGGCATCAGGCCTGGGCAAGGAGCCGATCCGGCAATGGGAGGGTGATGGAGGTCAACGCCTCTGGCCGAGGTGTCAGGCCTGGGCAGGGGCTGGAGCTGGCAATCGGAGGGGTCTGGGGGTCCCCTGCCCAGGCCTGACGCCTGGGCCAGAGGCATCAGGCCTGGGGGGTAGGGGGGCAAGCCGGCGATTGGTGTGAACTACAGAGGAAACACTTTTTTTTTTGCCTGCATCGGTGGGTATAGGAGAGTTAACAGTCAACAATTAACAACGAGAGGCTGCGTGGTCTCTGCCTGGTGCCTTGGGAAACACCTTTTCTGACTGCTCATTGGTTAACCTCCCTGTATGCCACTGGTAATATTCTTAGTAACTTGGGTAATAAGAATCCAAAAAGGTGATCTAGGGTTTTTCACCACACTCCTGGTGAAAAAAACGAAGGTCTGCTGCTGGAAGGCTAAGAAATGTCATATCCTGCCCTAGCCGGTTTGGCTCAGTGGATAATGCCTTGGCCTGCCGATGGCAGGGTCTGAGTTCAATTCTGACCAAGGGCATGTACCTACGTTGCAGGCTCCTCCCTGGCCGGGGCTCAGGTCAGGGCTTATGCAGGAGGCAACCAATCAGTGTTCCTCTCACTTTGATGTTTCTCTCTGTCTTTCCCTTTCTCTTCCACAGTCTCTAAAAATCAATGGAAATATATCCTCAGCTGAGGATAAAAAAATAAAAATAAAGAAATTATTATTATATGAAAGACACATCTTGAAAATGCCTAAAGAAAGTTGTCATTTTTTCATGGTGAAGGGACTGGAGTCCGTGTTGATGAAAAAACCTTGCTGGCTGCGGTGACTGGCAGTGGCTGCGGCAGCGGGGTGATGAGGCTGGTGCCTTCCCCTGATCAGCCCGGTCACCTCCCACAAAGGGAGGCCAGACTTCGGCTTAGGCCCTATCCCCAAGGGAAGCAGGGAGCGGGCCTAAGCCGTCACTAGGACATCCCCCGAGGGCTCCCAGTATGTGAGAGGGGGCAGGCTGGGCTAAGGGACCCCCCCCCCCCCAGTGCACGAATTTCGTGCACTGGGCCCCTACTTAGAATGAAAACAATACACAAGTGAAAGTAAATTTTAAAAATTTTTCATTGAAAAGTTTAAAAAATTATATAAGTAATACATTATCCTTGTACAAATGCTACTACAAAAAAGCAAAAGTTCCTCCATCCCACCTGATGTCTTCTGAGACTCTCATATGCAAGACAAATCTACTCTCTCTGTGGGTCTTTAAGAAATACACATGCAGGACAATACTGTTCTGTACTGTGCTTTTTTTTCACTGAATAGTACATCATGAGCCCCTTCTGGTTCAGGCCAAACAGCTCCGAGTCGTTGGATGGCTGGATGTCACTCACATTCAGTGTCCTGGGCATATTGTAACTTACTTTACCAACCCCTTTTATGATGGCACATTGGTTGACTTCTTGCTTAGCTATTTTAGGCCATGCTGAAATGAATGTCCTTTCATATTAATATAACTCTTTTATATGTAAATGCAAATTATACATAATGTACATGTTTCCTTGCACCTCCACAAGTAGGCTTGATTCGTAGGTGACAGATAATGCCCAGCCCTGTCACCTTTCTCTAGTTGACAGATTTCTGACAGTTTCACTTGTTAACCAAAAAATGACTTGTTTCAAAATATGGTGAATACATTCAGCCTATCTACACACACACACACACACACACACACACACTACTATATCCATATGTATATTCAATGTAATACATATTATTCAGTACAACGTGGAGCAGACACTGTGTGAGGACTTGGTGAACCTCAGGACTGAAAGGATTTCTTGGCCCGCTCGCCTGGAAAGTGCGATGGTCCCCTGCAGACCTCTCACCTTCATTGTTTCCAAAATGTCTTCTAAAATGGAAATTAAAACAAAAGGTAAAATTCAACTGAATCATTTGGTGAAGTGTGTATGATTGCTAAACGGTTTAATAAATAATAGACTATTTACAAATTATATTCATCTGAGAAAACTGCACGCCAAGCAGGATTCTACTACAGTGAACTTGGACTTGACACGGGTGTTATTGAGAATTCTAACCAGACTGAATGGCCTGCGTTGCAGTGGAGCCTGCTTGTTATTACAGCAATAATTGGATTTTTAGTTATTTAGCTCCATTCTCTGCCCAGATCCTTCCCTTTGGATAAAAAAATGTCAATGAAGGTTTGGGCCAAGTGTACAGTAACGTGGAACAATGGTAGTAAATAAAATACCTTATTTCGTTTAGGCGCATTGAAAAAAGCAAAACCTTCCCTTTTACAAACAACACTGAAGACTGAACTAAGAAAATGGAGTTATGAAAAACAAAAACCTAGTAATCATGTGATTTGAAGGGCTGAGGATATAAGGTATAACATAAAAAAATCAAACTCTGAGGTGTACAGAAAAAGAAAAATCATGGTCAATTTAGTTACAAAGTAATCTGAAAGCTAAGGCATAAACACCCATACCATCAGATGAGCTAAACGTACATAGGAGAATTTTCAAGGGCATGAAGACTAAAGGAGGAGAGAGAATTCACAATATGGAGGGTGAAGTGTCAGAAGAAGAAACTGAAGATTTTGTATTTGAATATGTATTTGAATATTAGTTTAGGAATTAGGGGGAAACTGCCATCCCCACCACAAGACAATACTTGTTAAAACCCCCCAACAACCTCTTACAAACCCCTCTTCCAACATGTGTTGTCTGTGTTATCTGTCAGCTGATTATACTAACATTCCAGGTTACTTTACAGAGTGCAGTCTCTGACAGCGGTCTGTGTTACCTGGATTGTTCTCCTTAATGGTGACTAAATAGAACAGCCCTCTTGGCGAAAGGAGATCTGGAACCAGTGGAAAGAACCTGTCCATGACTTCGCGACCATTTCTGCCACCAGCCCAAGCTGCTTCTATTCCATGACTTCCTACCTGTGACCAATGGAAAGATTGTTTTGACTCAAGTTACATTTAGAATCACAATCTTTTTTAAATATATATATTTTTTTATTTCAGAGATGAGGGGGGAGGGAGAGGGAGAGACTGATCCACACCAGCTAGGCTCAAACTTAATCTTTTTGACAAGTAACAGTCATCAAACAAGTATGTACTTTGTATTTTACTGCCATACAAAAGGCAGTAAAATTTAATCTGAGCCCCACCATTTCTTAGCCTTTGTGACGTTGTATAAATGTGTAGTCTTTGTGAATTCCTTTCCTCCCTTATCTGTAAAATTAGGAAAACAATCGTTTCCAATTATAAAGTTAGAAAATAATGATAAAAAATTAATTTTCCCACTGTTGGGGAAAAAATGAGGGAATAGTCTAGCCATCGATTTTATGTATACTTATGTATATTTTTCTTTTCTTATGCAATACCTTATGAAATCTCTTCATGTGACCTAGTCGAGTTCTAACTTGCTTTTAAGGACTGGAAAACATTTTATGATGGAAAATAATCACATATAGCTACCGATGAACATTCAACGTGTCCACTTGCTTAATTTCTTGTGTATTTAAGTTATTCCCATATCTACCTCAATATACAACTTTCCACAAAGTTAATCACAAGGAAATTCATGCATTCCTCTGTTTTGTCCGACTTTCCTCCTAGAGACTCCGTTTTGGCATTCCCATGATTCCTTCCTTCCCAGGTTCATGTTTCCTCCCTTATTTCGGTGGACCCCATCCTCTGGATGTTGCACCTCGTACCGTGGTGTGTGGACAAGGGCCAGGGAAGGCAGCTTTGGCCAGGCCCTTCTCGTCACTCTGTTCCTGGGTGGGCAGGCGCCCTCTGGGCTGGACCCTGCTGCTCTGCCTCCCCAGGAATGCTCAGCCAGGTGGAGGTGCCCCTTGGGAAGACCAGCCGGCACCACCCACATTCTTCTACCCAGAGGAGGGAGGTGTCCATCAGGAGGGAGGAGTCAAGCCCTGCCGGCTGCCTGGGCCCACCTCTGAGCGGTACCAGACCTTGATCCTGTGCAGATCAGGGGCACACACCAACAGCACCCATGTTGTGTGTCTAGATACATTAGTAAGTACAGCCACAACTTTCTGCATGCACTTCTATTACCGGTATGTTATGTCTCCCGGATATAACCTCTAAGTTTCTTATCTTCATAATTTCCTTCTTTTCCTGCACCCACTGCCTCATAATATCCTTGAGAGGAGGAAACCGAACACTTTCAAAAAGAATTCCTATTAGAATTTAAGGGGGATTAAAGGGCACGCACACACGCGCACACACACACACACACACGAATTTAAACACCATGGCCTGATTTGAATGGAATTTTAAAGGATGGAGATGGGTCAGTTGAATCAGAGCAGTTTGTGTTAATCCACAGCTGACATCAAATGATGAAATTTGTTTGCATTTAGAAAGGAAACAGCAGACAGCATTAACGATTAAATTCTGTTAAGTCTTACCTCTTCAGGTGGAGTCACTACATATGGGGGATTAAACACCAGAAGATCAACCTTCTCCTTCAGTCTTGGTAGCAAGCCTTTGACCTAAATGTTCAACAACTGTCAGACTTTTAAACCAGAGTATAAATTAAACCAACCATCTTTAAAAATATCTCATATTTTTAGAAAGAAAAATGTGTTAAGCCACACTAATTAACAGAAATGGAGATGCATATTCTTACATTTTCACTTAGATAAAGATTATATGAATTTCCCTAAAAATAAGGAAATAAGACTATTTATCAGAATGAAGATGATGTTCAGGAGTCTCAGCTCCTCAGCCCACGTGTTGACACGTGGTTGCACGTTTAGGAGAGAAGGAAGGAAGGAGGAAGGTCCAATCGGTACATCTGTCCTATACAGACTGCACAGCTTGAAAGCTGCAGCCTATGAGCCAAGCATTTACTGTCTACAACCAGGAGAACGACAGCAGATTGAAAGACACATGACCCAACTGATGCAAACTATGCTCATTCTGGGGCTTTTGCTGGGAGGCAGGGTTTCTTTCCATGGGGGGTTGCTGAAAAATAAGATACAGACATGCAAGTATCTTGCTACCATCAAGGAAGACTTCCTAGGAACAGAGCCACGAGAGAGAAGGTCAGACCCAAGAAAAGGACGCCTGTAACGGCACCTGAGTTCCTAGAGTCAGCTGTGCCTGAAGCCACCCACTCTAGTGAAGATTGTTTGAACTGGATGCTGTCACCGTGACAGACAGAGCCTGACATATACAAGCCAATAGACATCCCCCATGAACTGTGACAAAGAGTATGGTATCAGTCAAGAATTTACCAACTGTGATATCCTGCTTACTGGGTTAAAAATTAATCACTCAAGTATCTTTGACTTAAATCCTGTGGACCTTAACTTATCTGAAAAGGAAATTAAATATTATTGGGCAAGGAGTAACATCTCACCAAATCGGTAATTACGGGATGCACATGGACTCTGTTACAGCGTGCTGTCTCCAGGGTACAAGCTGCTGCTTTGGGGTTGATGTCAGTGCACCTACAAACAGAAAAGAAAGACTATATTCCATGCCCAGGAGACAGATCAGTTTCTGAAAACTTCAAGGAGTATTCCATTCCTTTTATGTGGAGCAGATTTTTAAAAAATTGAATACTTTAATAATGGTAGAAAAAGAATAAAGATTTATTACATTGATTTAAAAAGAAAGGCTATTATATTGATACTAGAGGCCCAGTGCACGAAATTTGTGCACTCAGTGGGGGGGCGGGGCGGTTTTTTTTTGGGTGGGGCGGGGGGGGGGAGGGCGTCCCTCAGCCCAGCCTGCGCCCTCTCACAGTGCAGTCCGGGAGCCCTCGGGAGATGTCCGACTGATGGCTTAGGCCTGCTCCCACTGGGAGGCGGTACTGTGGAGGTGGGAGAGGCTCCCGCCACCGCCGCTGTGCTCACCAGCTGTGACCCGGGCTTCTGGCAAACTGACCACCAGGGGGCAGCTCCTGCATTGACCATCTGACCCCTGGTGGTCAGTGGGCCTCATAGCAACCGGTCATTCCGCTGCTTGGTTGATTTGCATATTAGCCTTTTATTATGTAGGATAATGTGCAAAAGTAAAATACACATAACCACACGCACATCTGAAGGAATTTATTAAATTATGAATCCAATGAAGGAATACTATACAGCCATCAGAAATGAAATTTAAAGAATTTTTGGAAGGAAAATGCTCATGATACCATATTAATTGAAAAACATAAGAAACAGGAAAAAAACTGAAGCAACCATGTGGTAACATTTATAGGTAATTTTTATCTTTATAATTTCTATGTTCTCAAATTTTCTCAAAAGAGATTCTGGTAACTTTCAATTCATTTGTGATAAATTATTTACCTAAAAAAAATTCAAATTTAGAGATGACCTAAAATGCTTATGCAGCTTCTATAATTATCCATTCTGATGGAATAAAACACTCCGTTATAATTTTTAGGGAAGTTCATGTGCAATCTGAGTCCTTACTATACTTAAACAGACACCATCAGATACATATTATCTAATTACAAAAATGATTTCATTCAAGCAACACTTGATAGTATTTACAGTGAATCTCTTAGTGGAAGACGTGGATGCCTCTGACATCCTGACACTCACATGTACAGGGCCTGGGGGCCTATCATGGAGGCTAGGAATGTGGATACCACTCCAGACCCCGATCCCACTTCCAGGCACAGCTCCACTCTATACAAAAGAAAGTCGCATTACTACAGCTGCAGTGAAACACACATCACAGAAAATGACTCTCATGCTACTTTTAATCCATTTCTCCCCTATTATCACTCACCTGAAGTACAGAGTGTCACAAAAATATACAAATAAAAAAGAAATTTATAAATAAGTTAATTTCTGACAACTGTTTTGGCCTCATTTAATATTCATAGCTCAAAATTGTTAAAATTTTGGGTATGTAGTTTATTCTAAGTCCATAACATAGTAATATAATAGATGGCTTTCAACTCATTTCTATATCACATTACATAAAAACTATGAAATAATGTTAGTTTAGGGTTAGACATTTTAATATGAAAGACATCAGTTCTTTCCAGGAGAAGTTCCTAGTGTTGCATGTCCTAAAATGATAGATTATTACAATATTTATTTATGAAAGATATTTCTCTTAATATCATTTAAAAGTATGTAACACTCATAAATCCATCAGCATATCCTAGGGGACGAAAGCTACCCATACTACAGATAACAGGCTTAGAGCAGCAAAGAAATTCCATATTTGTACTGATTACTAAATTGGGAAAATACTTAAGTATTGGATCTTAGAATATTAGCAATAATCTTAAGACTGTCACTGAACATCTCCATTCTACTGTATTTTGTCTTTCAATTAAATGTATTTCCTTGCCTATAACTACATACATATATGGTGTCAAAAGCACCAAGTATCCCCACTACAGAAACAGGTTTGGGGGATTTAGGGGGGCTCACTAACACCCAGCTCCCCAATCACCCAACCTCAAAACTCGGGGTTTCTAACTGGGAGCCAGTCCGTATCCGACAAACCTTTATGCTATGGGAAGAGCTACTGAATCTGATATTTGAAAAGATAAACTGCTATGGTCTCATAAATACCTAAAATTCCACGACCAGAAATCTCCAAAACTTTAAAACGGAATCAGATCTGCTGACAGCACAGTGTGGAGCCCAATCTGTGCTTGTAAATCGCTGATATGTCATGACTTACAACACCGCACCATTTTAGTCTAGATTTCAGGAAACCCCAAAGTTCCATCGTTTACATTGAAAAACTAGTTTATAATAATAGTTGTGCCAGCCATTTTATACGTGGAAAAACCCAACCAGGTTTCATCCTGAGAAAAGCCACTTCAAGGCGGGATTTTTAAATACATCTGAACACCCAGACTCCTTTCGTTTAAAACGTTGACAATGTCGGTATCCATTCTTTTCGGTCATTAAATGTCAGGTTTCTAGCATCTCAACAGGTCGGTGTGATGAGCGTAAGGTGCTAGGTCCATGGAGGCTGCAGGTCACGAAGTTGTTACAATTCAATGAAAAATTCAGGCGGCGGTCACCCCGCATGCGAATCGGGGCTTTAAAGGGCGCAGAGGTCAGAACCCGGCCGGGCGCTGGCGGGGTCAGGGGTCAGGGGTCATCTCCGTCCAGGGCCCGACCGGGTGGCGGGTTGGAGTCCCCCTGGGGCGCCCGTGGGAGGCGACGGACTGAGCGCGCTCTCCCGCTCCCTCTCTCTTTCCTCTCTCTCTCCCTCCCTCCCTCCCACTCTCTCTAAAATTCAATGGGAAAATGTACCCCAGTGAGAATTAACACAAAACACCCCCCAAACGCCTCCCATCCGGGTCCCTCAACCTCACTTCCTGTTTGGACCCCCGGGCCGCGGGGCTTCCGGGTAAGTCGGCGGCGCC